TAAGGACTTCTTCATGACAGAAAGGAGGAATGAGATTACTTAACAGTAACTTAGGTTCTTTGTAAATTTGCATTCAAAGAATCAATAAGACTAAAAGAAAATTTCCAGAAGCTCCTGAGCAGTGGTGACCATGAGTGCCTTTGCCCTTCACCCCGTTGTCAGAAGGCAGCCAGAACTGTGGAGACCTGGCTTCCTCTCAGTTCTTTCCAACTAAGTAAAAAATCCAAACAGAAAGCCAGAAGAAGCAATGAAAAAGGATGGGATTTGTGTACATCAGAGGCCCGCCCCAGAGAATGGTAGTTGTACCTAAGTTATTTCTTGTGGGCTGGGAAGGATTAGGTACTCTTGACAAACATGGGGAGCAGAACTACCAAAGCAAGAACCCGTTTCTCTCTCCAAGAGAGAAAAGATCTAAAGGAGGCAAGTGGAATTTTCATTTGCCCCAAACATGTTTTAAGGAGAAATAAATAGTTTGTTTTGTCTTCTGCTTTTCTTCTGTACAGCCATTGAAAGCAACAAGGAGCCCTTTTTTAAAGTTGCTTTGGACTGGACTGAAATCTCTAGCACATGTAGGACATCAACCACACACAGGGTCAGGAGAATTATGAACAGTAACATGCTTTATAGGAGCCACATATGCACCATGACAGACAAACTCCTCTGATATCAGACAGATTTTTCCAAAGGGTTGGAGAAATAGTTTCTGACACTCCACAAAGAGTGGTCAGACTTTCTGATCAGATAAAACATGACAACTTCCTCCCTGACCATAAGCACAGCTGGGTTTTGCAGTTGGCTCACACGCTGTAGGACAGTGCTAATGCCAGAAGGGTGGTCCCACCAACAGCCATGCTCCTGGAAGTTGAAGTCCTGGCTGAAAACTACATTTCACTTCAGTTCATGCAGGGTTAATTTTCAGCTTGATCAGAGAACATTGTGATTGCCAGTGTCAACACAAAGACAGGTTGTATCTTGTAGACAGGTCGTGGAGACGGAAGAAAATTGACCTTTTCCTTAACAGTCAAGTCGAAGATTAGCTTACAGCAATCATGGAACTATAGGTTGAGGCACAACACAGACAAACTGAGGTCTGAAAGTCCACATCCCTCTAGACAGACAGCGTGGAGGTGCCAGAAGAACCACTGTCAGAGTGCAGTTTTAAGGTATATATATTAAAAATCTGGAAGCGGCTGAGGATGGCTTCTTTAGTGTAAAAACCAAGGCAATCTGCCCTAAACCTTTGTCAACTTTAGAAAAATAAGATTATGTACAAAGTGAACAGCCATATGATTCTTTCCCAGCATTTTCAGTATTTTCACATTCATTCTCCTTTTCTGTATCAATGACAAAGAAGCAACCACCTCAAGGACTTACAGAGCTATACAGACCAATCCTCTTATAGACAAGATCATTCCTAGAACAGAAGGAATGCTGATCTGTGCCTTAGAGGCTGAACAGGGATGACAACCATATGTCACTTGGCAGAAGTTGGGGGGGTTGTTTGTTGCTTTTTTGGTATCCCAAATGTAATGAATTATAAAATAAAGCCTAAATTAATAGTCAAGGAGGACTTTATCAGGGCCTCAGACTTAGGAGGTGCTCATCTGGGAGAATCTCTTTCAACTCATAGATTGTTTGACTTGATCAAAGGTTCTTGATTTACAATAGACTTCTGTATAATACCCAGACTCAAGAGCTTCACGAAACAAGAGCTAGGCTGCCACCAATAGAAAATTTGAATCCCAGTGAGATGTCAGTATCATCTTGAAGGCAGGAGGTCTAACTGTTCAAAAAGCAGGAACTTCTGAATATTAATACATAGGACTTCCAGTTCGTACACTTTAGCAACTTGGTACTACCTAGATTGATATCTGAAAGGTCTTTAACTGCAACAGAATGTACGTATTTGATGTTTAATGACATCAGAACAATTAGACAAGTCCATTATTGATGTTGGGTGTAGAAGGGCTTAAATGACATTAACCCAGCTTCTAGAGAAAAGGTAAGATAGTGCCACAGACAAAGCTTTTATACTTTGAGTGAGCACTATACTGAAGAAGTCTCTGCCTACACTGGATTAATCCAAAGAGTGTGCCAAATAATTCATCTGCTTAATAAAAAACTTCTCTTTGACAGACTGAATCCTGCATTACCGTAAGGCTGGCTAAATAAGCCTTACTGTGTGCACACCACTGAACCTCAGGAAAGGAATAAAATATCAGAGGTGAGAGAGATAACTCTCACTTCCTGTATCTATACACAAAACACATTTCCCATAGCAAGTTAAAAGCAGGGAATAGACACAAATCAAGGCAAAAAACCAATTCCACCTTAAAGATCTTCTATTGCTCAAACCTGAAAAGGTATATAAACATACCATCCCCATCTTATAAAACAAAGAACTTGAAATTGGGACCTTGTGGTTTAGGTTTTCCTCAATCAAGAAAGGCAATAGAGCTTTGCAAAAATGAGTTTTCCAAAGTTCTCAAACAGATATTAGCATCAAAGAACCATAAAAATTCATCAGTAAAACAACCTGTCCAAGTTTTGGGTATGTAGAGTCTTCAGAGAAGAGTGCCATCTGCTCTGTGCATACTGATGTTCTCACATTTTGCAAATTATTACAGAAGAACCATTTGGAAATTCTACTGAGCCAAGCTTAGATAAAGGCTTAGGTATGTTCACACCAAGCACTACAGTGCCACATAGATGCCTGAGACAGTTGTGAATGACTTGGGTATCTACACAGCTCAGCGTCATACAGAGATATTAGTTCACATCCCAGAAGGAATACCACCACATTCGCATGGCTCTGTGTGCGGGCTAATTAGGTGATGTTTCCCCAGTTGCCAAAAACCAAAGAGTGAATCATACATCCGCCAGCATCCAACCTTCTTTTGAAAGCACAGAATGGAAATATTTTGAACCTCAGGTATGTGAGAATGCAAGGGGAATATAAAGACATAATGTCACCATTTTACTTTGTTTTAAAGCCAGAAGGAATCAGAAATTCATCTGATCTGACCTGTTATCACAACTGCTCCACTTCATCCACATTGGGTCCGGCATATGAACTTCAGTCAGCCTGAAAGCACTGAAGTCCTTTAGAGACTGACCTATTTCATGTGTGCCACAGGCAGAGTCCAACCGTATGCTCTCAAAGCCAAGACTACAGACGCGGCAGATGACTGATAAGGTGATAGTTGCCCAGATTATTTCAGCAGAAATCCATTCCTCATACTGCTTTGGAAGGTGAAGAATCCTATAGTCCTGCTCATTAGTTCTCAGCTCTAGCACTCAGGATCTGCTGTACATGTGAACAAGACACATGAACCAATTATCCTGAAATAGGATTCTCTGCTGTATTAAAACAACCAGCTCGCTACAAAGAAGCCAATCTCTGGTGGCAGCTAGTCTCTGAAAATCCAAAGAAGAATGAACTTAAAAAAGACCTAAACCCAACCACTGGTAGGATAGGGAGAAAAGCTCCTTCCCGACCCCTGTGAGTAAGCCACAAAGGGCCTGAAGTGTGATTTGAAGATGGTCATTATCTTAATGCAGAGCTGCAAGTATTTCAAGGATGGTGCAGATTACTCTGAACACAGCCATACAGGAAGAAGTTGGAAAGGGAGGCTCATAAATCAACAGTACAGGCCACCACATGACACACAGATATAAAATTTCTTCTCATGACTCAGAAAGATAGTGATGGACAAAGACTCCAATGTTTAATTAAACCAAGAGCCATGAAATTATTTTATTCTGAGGTAGAACTTCTCAAACTTCAGCTTTCAGCTATGGGAATTTGTTATGGCTTTACTAGTCATTGGGTTGCAAATCTTACTAAAAGGTATCTCCTCCTCCCATATGCACCTGTAAAGATTACTTGATCATAATGTTTTTTCTCTTCAGTTAGTTGAATGTGTTTATTCAGAGCACCAGGCCAGTTTTCTAGGCTCTATGTTCTTTTTCTGTCCCTTCCTCGAAACCCCAGCAATATTTCAGTGTAATTCCTCATATGTCAACACAGAAACTGCTCAAAATGTTCTGATTTTACTGACTCTGCATACAGAAAATAGCTTCATACTCCTGTCTAAGGCTTCCCTTTTCATACAGGCAGGAGTCACAACAGCCATTTTTGTCTTTGCGTTGTGCTCTGGGCTCACTGGAAGACACTTATCCACAAAAGTCCCTGGATCCTTCTCAGAGTTACTGTTTCCCAGGGTATTATCACATTTTGAAGGTATTATCTGCATTTTTTTTTTGCTCCCAGATGTAGTAACAAGTGGCATAATTGTGATAGCTGTTAAAATATTGAAATGAGTTACTGTGTGTAGTATTTCTGGGAAATGGTAGAAAGGATGATGTTTAATGAAACTATATAAACATGTAAAATGTTTTCTCAACACAGTTTCCCATTTTTGTTTGCACAGATGTGTGTAATATCATCATGAAGCCTCTTCCAAGAAAGATAAATTAAATCAAAAGGTTTGAATAAGGCAAATAGCTAGAATGCTCTGCTGGTGCCTCTACACACCATCTCTTACCTCATTTTGTTCCCTTTTTCTAATCATAAAAGATATTCCTGCCACTGGAAAATATAAAAAACAAACAACATTTTTTTATGAAGGATAAAGGTCCTTTGCACAAATAAAATGACCAGTTCTGAAGCTGCAAAGAAATATGCTTTAATTTAAGAGACAAAAGAGAGCATTACAGAAGAAATTGTCATAATCAAAGTTGAAAAAAAATTTCTATTGTCTACTGTGCCTCTCTGTGGGAATTTTCCCAGCACAGACAGCTGTAAAGGAGGAGGGGTATTGTGCGTTTCTGTACTCTCATTCTCTCTCTCCCTCTCTTTCTCTGTCAATAAATGTCTGCAATCATATTCTTGAGCTCCAGTGTGATTTCAAGGTTCATCTCTTCCATGCAGCTCAAACACTAATTATCCCAGCTGTAATTAGTAAGATAATTAAATACTGGCTCACTCATCACTCTACCTTGTGTCGGGTCATGATTCTCCCAGAAGACCTTGAGCAGTTCCTCAAAGCTGATGTTTTCTGGCTGATATACTACTCGTACAGTCTCTGCGTGGCCGGTTTTACCTTTAAAGAGAAAATAAAATCAGATGTTATTAGTGAGAATTAGATAGTGCATATCTGGTTTTTATATCTGAGACTCAAAGCACAATGCTCTGTTTTCCTTTTTTTTAATTCCTAAAAGTGTTTTGATTTACTTAAGCCTTTTTACACAATATTTTATATACTCTAAGATATTTGCTAGTTTGGAAAAGGCCAACATGAAATAAACTATTCAGAGAGGCAACAAGGAAATACAGCAATGCCATTACAGTAGTTTGTCAGCTTACATAAAAAAGAAAAAAAAAGGTAGTTCTTAAATATTTGTAACTGACAACTACTAAGATATTTTAAAATATTCTAAATAAAACATTGAAATATGAAAACTTGTATGTCTAAGCTGTCCTGACAGTATAAAACCAGGCTTCATTTCCATCAGGTAAAATATGGATAAAATAATCGATTATAAAAACAAATTTCAAGGGCATGTCTACACGAGAGCACACAAACAATTTCAAACTATTTCACATCATCCAAGCCACTGATGCCAGTGGGCTTCAGAAAGAGGCAAAGAGAGCCTGACTGAACCTTATGGCAGCAGATGAAGTCTGTGGAATATCAGCAGGTGTTGCAGCACGTTAAAACATATTTCAATTTTCTAGTTACATCATGGGTACAGTTTTTTTCATTCCTTATGTGCCTAATTACAATATTACTGAAAGATCCAGTTTCACAAAATATGAAGGATCTGGCCATATAATTCATTTCAGTTGTAACTAATAGATTGATGGGTGCTCAGACATTTCAAGGTGAATGTCCATCGCACTGACAGCTACACAAGCATTTTGTGTTTTAAATTTTATAAATAGCTACAGATTGTGTCTTTTGCAATTTATAAATGTTGGCATATTTGTTGTTATAATATCTGCATGAAACTTACCGAATTCTTCAGTTACATCAAACTAAGTAAATAACTGAAAAAGTAAACTGGACAGCCAGATTTGGCTTTTGGTGGGGACATAAAAAGCTCCTTGATCACACCAGGCCAGGTTTTTATTTCATTTATGCCAGCATAAACTTCAGATTTACCCAGCTGACTTCAATACACTGTTTAATTGCATGCAGTGCATTAACCTGATGAATCCAGCCCAGTGATGGGTTCTGAATTAGCTGTCATCAAGCAAGAAAAAAATCTATGAGTAACTGAGAAGTGTTCAGTAGAAACACCAATTCAGTACCAACAGAAATTTTAATTAAAAAAAAAAAAAAGGCAGAAAGAAATAAAAAGGATGCTAAGATATATAAAAGAAACTTAACAGAGGAAACTATGACAGCATTAGTTAATGGGCCACCTGAAATGAAAAAAAACTAAATGAGGCACAGAGGGGTGGGTTAGCTATTAAAAGGGATTTAAAAGACTGGGATTAAACTTAGTCTATAATGCAGAGGAGTAAAAGGGGGCATATCCGGATATCTATAATGAAAATTTTTATAAAATCGAATTGGTTCATATCTAGCGTTCTTCATGATACAGTAAATGTTCACTGTCTGAGATTAAAAGACAAAAAACATACAGGTTTCATGTAACCTGTAGCTAAAGCCATGTCATCCTGTCCACCAGGGAACTGCACAGGCAAACGATGGCCCAATTCCTCTTTTACATGCACCACGCCTACTGAAGTCCATGGAAGCAACTCATTATCTGCAGTCAAATTCAGATGGTAGGCTGGCAGAAAGGGATCATACATTTAGTAGAATATGAGTACAAGTCAGAGATAATTGGCTTAATGATACAGTGAAATGGTTTTTCTATATTATGGTATGCACTGATGGCCAGCTTAGGTCAGGGATAGAATTTATTCCAGATTTCACAGCTTAATATGGACTATCAGTGAAAATAATGGGGTTTTTTTTTGCCTTAGCTTAAGTTCAGGTCAGCACTTCTGCTGTTGCTTAAGCTAAAGGAGAGCAAATGGACAGTGGTTTGTCCCACTCCTGCAAGCCTACACTGTATAACTGAAAAGAGATTAAGGAGTGGCTTCTGACTTTAATTCCTTTTTTTGCTTTTTGTTGTTGGGTTGTTGTTTTTTTTTGTAAGCCAGTGTAAAGCTTATGAAAGCTTCTTATCACTCAGGAGCAAATTGGTTCTCTAAGATGACTAGCTTTAGATCACAAGAGAGTTTCTTAAAGAACTTCAAAACAACAGAGGCATTACCTTCCCTCTCAATTGAAGCAGCAATTACATCTTGTCAACACTGTCTGCTCTGACTAATTCAGAAGTTCAAAGAATCAGCTTTCTTCTTTTCCACTGAATAAGGAAATAATGGGGCTACTTTGAGACCTATAGCATGACCTTGAGAAAAAAGTCCTCAGATGTGTGGCTAACAGACTGTTAGAACCTAGAGCGTACTTAAAATCAATATTCATCCTCAGGGAAAAGTAAGGAGGTAATGTTACTGGTTCTATCAGATTCACCTCTAATTCTTCTCAAAGCCTTTCCACAATCTAGTGGGTTTTCTTTCAGAATATGGTGTGGCCATTTCTGCTAAGAACAATCTTAGTCATTTGTGGTGAGCACTCCTACTTCCTGACAATTTCTTGGAAACTATACCAATCAGCTGGGTACACATAAGCAAGTAGACAGATAAAAGGCTCTATGAAGGACAGAGTAACCACATTTCCTAGAAGCAGCACAGTGAGAAAATGGCAACAGGGAACAGGAAAAGAAAAAGAACAATCTCTCTACAGGTGCAACATGTCCCTCAAGAAAGAACCAAAAGATACCAGAAGGTTACCTTAAGTAGCATGTGGAAATGACCAGCTCGTTGGTGCTGAATATGATTCAGCTGCAGCTAAAGTGGTAAAAGAGAACTTGAACTGGGTTCTCCTTGTTGATTTTTAAATTAGATATCAGGAAGAAGTTCTTCCCTGTGAGGGCGCTGAGGTGCTGGCACAGGTTGCCCACAGAAGCTGTGGCTGCCCCATCCCTGGCAGTGTTCAAGGTCAGCTTGGACGGGACTTGGAGCAACCTGGTCTACTGGAAGGTGTCCCTGCCTGTGACAGGGGGTTGGAACTAGATGAGGTTTAAGATCCATTCTGTGGTTCTTATTTCACTTTTTGTGTTAGGCTTAAGTTTGATTATGAAAACAGAATAATCACCTTTCAGTTTGGATGTCATACATTTGGTACACCAAAGTGCTGAAAGCTAACCAGTCCTCTGTATTGTAAAAATGAAAATAAAAATCACTGAAATATTTCTAATCAAACCTTTTTTTGTAAGATTTCTTAAAATGGAGAGGCAGTAATCAAAGAGAAACAATAAACTCCCTTGTTCTCAAAAAACTGCATGTCTTTTACCAAGAAATTTAACAGGCTAACACTGAACAGCTGAAATGATTTAAAATGATCAGTGATAGATGCTATTCTTTCAGTGACACTCAGCTCTTCACCTTAGTGCCTCCTTCAGAATTTCTCATGAAAGGTCCATTTATATTAAGTCAAAGAGTCATGGTGTCCTCAGTTCTCCTATTATTTTAATTAGCTGATTTTTAATATTCCACAGTGAAAGCATGCTTCACTTAAAGTTCCAAAAGTTTTAACAAGTATGAACATTTCTAGAAGCCTTCTCCGAAAAAAAGCTTAATGTTTAAACCATGTTTTTTAAATAATTTATTGAATCACTAAAAATAATTTCATTTGCTGTTAGCTGTGCAAATAGAAATCCTTTATTTATAGGTGCCATTATCGGATTTCCAGTTATGGTGCTCAGTTCTCCTTCAGCTTTAGAAGGAGCTTAGCCATTGAAGAACCTTGCTGCAGATGATAAGACTTCATTACACCATGGTAGAGAGGGCTGTGTGCCAACAGCAGATTGTCTGTTTATCCTGTATCCATTTCCCACTTAGAAAACACAGCCACTCTCGGAGGATTAGCTACAGTGAGCTCTTTCAGTGGCGATTCAAACTCTGGCAAAAATGTTCCTGTAAAGAGCAATAGAAAAAGACATCTGAGTGACACCTCAGTGCTCTTTTTCAATTTTTTTCTTCCTAATAGTGTTTAGATTTTCACCTTCTTAATCATCTCCCAGGTGAGTGCCCAAGCCGACGGATTAGAGAAGCGAACTCATTCTTTTTAACTTGCTGTATCCAGTAAGCATTTAATTATTTCCAGCAAAGTGGAACAACTTCAAAGGGCTGGTGTGAGAGCATCTCACCCATCTCACCTATGAATGAATACCTAGCAGCTACGGTGCTGCTACATGACATGTGGTCTTCAACTCCAGCTGGTCCAGCCTGGGTGTATTGAATTATTAAGTTCAAGCAATGCCAAAAATGCCCTCCTGACCCACTTCTTCAATAAAAAAGGACTTGCCTCTCTTCACCCACTGAAATATAGGTCCTAAATCCAATAAATGTCTAAAGATAATGTAAAGAAATAGGTGGCAGATCTTCAGCTGATGCTTCAGCTGATGCTTACTGATTTTGGAGCTACAACAATTTGGGCTAGCTAAAGCCTAGGCACTAGTGAACATGCAAAGTATTACATGAGAAAGTAGTAGGTCTTTGAGAATCCATTTCTCCAAACTAGCCTGGGAAGTCTTTTATGTTGTAGTTATCTCTAATAAAATTTCCAGTTTCTTCCTGTGTCCTGGGTTCAGCTACAGCAGTCATTTTTTCTCCTTCTTAGTAGCTGGTGCAGTGCTGTGTTTTTGACTTTCAGCCTGGGAACAACGCTGATAACACCGATGTTTTTAGTTGTTGCTAAGTAATGTTTACTCTGACCAAGGACTTTCTCAGTCTCATGCTCTGCCAGGGAGGAGGGGAAGCCAGGAGGAAGCAGAGACAGGACACCTGACCCAAACTGGCCAAAGGGGTATTCCATACCACAGCACGTCATGCCCAGTATAGAAACTGGGGAGAGTTACCTGGAAGCGCTAAAACACTGCTCGGGTCGGGCTGGGTATCGGTCGGCAGGTGGTGAGCGGTTGTGTCCTCTCCCCTTGTTATTCCTCTTATCATTATTCTTGG